CTTTTTTTATCAATTATACAAGGACTTTGTTATGTATGAGGTCTATGAAGCATGTGGTCAATCACTAATTTTTGTGAGCTTCGTATTACCAGAAAGAATTTTAGCTGAAATAATTGCATCAATTTTTTTAGGTGTAACAATTTTTTTATCAGGACGCAGAGTTATTAAAATATTTTTCCGCCCTCGGGTGGTTTGGGGAGGCTGGTACTTCCTCGGGCAAAAAAGCAGTTTTCCGATACTCGTTCGAAAAGTCTCCTTTACGAACCTCGTTACGGACCTCACCTTCGGCTCGGGCCGCAAACCTTTCGGTTCGCAAACAAAGACTTTTTAAACTCGTAGGAAAACTACCATTTCGAAATAGTGTGCGAAAAATAGGTGTTTTTCGCACTAATATTAGAGTGGAAAATCGATTTTCCCACATAGTGTGCGGTAAATATTTTCCACATTCTGTGCGGAAAAACTTTTGCAGCACACTATGTGGGAAAATCGATTTTCCTCACTAATATCAGTGCGGAAAACACCTATTTTCCTTACACTTATTGCGAAAAAACTTGTACGCAACTCGTGCGGGACTATTTCCCGCACTCGTAGCCGGTGACGGTAACTCGCGCTACGCACTCGTGTGCTCAACTGGCACTCGTTCCCGTCAACTCCGGCCATTCGTGCGAGTCAATCACGACTCGGGCGGCAAATCGTCTTTTTCGCACTTGTTACGTAAATAACTATTATAATGTTTTTTTAAATTTACAAATAATAATGTAATCTGTGCATATCTTAGCTTGTATGCGGTTAATTGGTTAGTTACAAAATAACATACACGTATTGTCTCATGGTAGCTGAAAATACGTGGTTAAGTCAATCGAAGGTATCTGTTGCAGAAGTTAATAATATTACGTACTGCTTTGCTGTTGGTTTTACTTTTAAGCAGACAATCCGTGAAAGCAGCATCGTAGAAGATCAGGATATATCTTCGCAAACAATCTCAGATCGGATTAAATATTGTTGGGTAGTCTGCATGATTGCGTTAGATACATATTTTATAGAGGAAAGAAAAATTGGGGGATTTGGTGTGATTGTTGAAATCAAAGAATGTAAGACTGGACGTCACACGTACGAACGAAGTACAATCGTTAAAGGCTCTTGGATTTGAAGGATAATATTTTGAGGGTAACCAGATTAGTAACGCATTGAGACGTACCCTAATAACAAGCGAAATCAAGGAACTCTGACTAAGTTGATAAAAAAAGCGTGTAGCTCCTAAATCCATCATCTATACGGATTTATGAAAAGCATACAAAAATCTAGAAGATAACGGTTACACCCACTTAACAGTCAACCATTCTAAGAATTTTGTTGACCTGGAAACTGAAGCATTCACTGAAAATATTCAGGCTTCTTGACAGTTTATGTGTCACGTAGTATCTCATGAAGGTGTAAGGAAAGAAAACCTATCTGATTACTTAAGTGAATAATTATTAGATATTATTTAACTTTTTTTTTATGCAATTTTTAGATAAAATAATAAATAACATTTTAAAAAATTTTATAGTTTGAATCATTATCAGAACATCAAAAAAAATTTTAAATTTCAATTTGATGCATGACTGGTGGCAACTTGCATCATGGCTACATTATGATATTATTACGGTCATTGGATTGTCATCGAGACCATCATATTCGACTTGAGCTACTCAATAAACATAAGTATACTGATTTTTAGCTTGCTCAATAGCAGGCGTTATGCGGAAGTACAGCAAAATTTTTCATGAGCAAACATCAAAATTATCAAAGTTAATTTTCTTTGTCATCATTTTTAACATCAAAAACAATGTTTTTACTAAAGCAAAATATCAAGCACTGACCGTAAGGTTTTTAATAACATTTGAAAGTTGTACTTTAGACAATTTTTTATGAACAGAAATCTAATATTTTACCATTTTACAAGTAGTTTATTGTTGTGCAACTTAATATCTTTATTTTCTTACAGTTATATTCAAATTAACATGATAGTTGTTTCATTACGTCGATCAAAAGTTTGACGGTATAAGAATTTGTTTACACTTTCTCGTCCATTTATGTCTTATAAAGAATAAATCTATGGCTTCCCAGACAACCCAATTAACTCAGTTTTTGCGATTTTAGAGCAAAACGATTTTAAAGATTGAAATGCTACTTTTTGACAGCACAAAAACTGCACGTTTCTTGAAGTGCCCAACGTTAGGTACTAACACAAGACTTTGATATTTTACGTGGGTGTTAAGAAAATGCAGTCGACTTCTTTGCTACGAGTCGGTTTTCGAGTTCATCGGTTAGGCCGGGAATGGAAACTAATTCTATTATTCAAATTTGAGAATATTCAACAAAAACACGCAATTCACCACGAGAATATATGCTATGCCTGCTTGCTAATTAGTTGTCATGAAGAATTACATTTATATTACTTAAACTAGCAATGTACTGCTTCGTACAGTTCTACCGACAAAACTATGATCTTAACGTAAAGTAACACGATTAGGATTAAATTTTTTTTTTTTTTTAAAGACAACTACTCAATAAAATAGTTTTCGATGATTTCTGCTCTTTAAAATCATCCATTTTTGCTGTAGCAACGATTTTTTTATTCAATCGGTTGGGCCGAGAAAATGGCAGATAATCCATTAGGTTTTGTGCTGATTACGGGAAATTGGTAACTCGAATCATTTCAAAAATTTATTTGGAGAAAAGTACACCAAAAAAGGATACGCTATTTGGTCCTAACTCAATTAAAAAAAAAAAAATTGAGTTAATCGGTTTGTCCAGAAAGCCAACGAAATAATGTTAAATGCTCATGACTATCACTTAAGGGGGTAGGGTCACAATGTATAGTCAATGCGTGTTCTGAAATACATTATGTGTTTCGAAACAGACAAGTGAAAACAAATGTGGCAACGTCGCATGAGGCGAAAACCCTCTGTATATCCATACGTATAAGTATAGATAAGTTCGGAGGTTATATTGTACGTCAACATTGAGTTGGTGGTGAAATCTCGCTTGCAACATCTTAACGAATCTTTAAATACAATCTTTTAATTTTTTCTAACTAAACAACGATGAAGCTACGAGTACTGTTCTTGAAATATGTTTAAAACACACTATTTTACATTATATTTTAATTTCAGCAAAGTCTGAAATTTTTTTTATTGGTATCTGTAAAATACTCTTTTTCCGATAAGAGTACGTGTTAAATAGATAATTTATTTCTCAAAAACTGTGAAGCTAGGGTGTCTGAAATTTTAATGTTATTCTACATATAACTGTTAGCTTCGATAAATTTTTTTGTAGCGTTTCTAAATTTTTGGATATTGTGACACTACCCCCTTAACCTTGCCTCCGATTAAGAACTGAAGGTTGTGGACTGTAGTCTTACACTGCTTTACATGCTGCAGGACCAGCAGGCAGACGAACAACTTACTTGTTTATAGGAAAAAAAAAATAGAGAAGGATTCATAAAATATATGTGTTAACGTATCGTCCTTTTTCTAGCAGCTTCGGGTAAATTGGATTGATAGTTAAAATAGATTTCACTTTTTTCGACTTGTTTTAAATTTATATATTCCAAAATCACTCGTACAAAAAAAAATACAAAGGAAATAAAAGAACAATAAATCACTCTTTAGCAAGTTATTTTAATAATTGAAAACTGCACTCAATGAGCGGTATCGGGGTGCAGACTAAAACGCTGCGCAAAGAAATGCACCTCGCGCATATAACTATAGCTCGTGCCGAATAGGCACATGTAACTTTCTATATTAAAGGTTCATCGTTGTTAAGTTGTTAACCGAGGCCTTTCATTATCCTGCCTGCCTCCTCTCCTGGGTAACATCGAGAACACCGGCAGCAATGGGGACTGCCTAGCAACCTGTCTCGACCATCGGTCACAATAAAATTCCCCCATAAATCTTGTCTATTAGTGTACCTCAGAAGAAAATATCTGAATAAACTCCGCAGCAACCAATATATTTCTTATGTTTAATTGAAAGAGTGATAGTTAAACTACATGTCTCTAGTTAATTGTTCATTTAGGAAGTAATTTGAGAGAGTTATGATGAGATTTCAGGTGAAAAAAGTGCCGTCTCCATAAGAGGCTATGTATAAGACGCTTACTTGTAACGCGTTTTACTAAATTTTCCGGAGCAACCTATGCTGAAATTTTGCAGAGGTAAAAAACATACTCATTGACTGTGGATTTCAATATCATCCATTTCACAAGTACTTCGATAGGTGTGTTGAGCATTCTTAAGAGCCTACAAATTTTTTCGTTGTAAAATTATTATGAAAGTCGTCACCAGACAAATGATGGATTTAAAGAAGTGTCTACTGTTAAAAAGTTTGATGTCAAAGAGATTGAAGGAAGTAAAATGCCTCTAATGGCCATAGAAGCAGAGACTTGAGCAAAAAACTAAATAAAAATTTGCACTTGTTCATAAATTGTTTAATAAATAAATGAAGCTGACTTTTAAATTAGACATAGTTATTTTTCTCGTATTCCTTTGAAAAATGGAGTAAATCGTTTTTTTTTTGTCTACAGGCAATGGACTGAGAGAACAGTAACCAAAATGTTTGTTAAACAAAAAAATTCAGGACTGTTGGCCTATACCAGAGAATATAGCAATACGTCCCTTCAGTTACGTGTTTCTATATTATCTGCCTAAACTCATGTAGTTTTGCACACTAAACTTGAAAAACAGTCCTAAACCCTAAATTATTGTAGTTTTCCTAAACTTGTCATGTTGCACACAAGACTATTCGTCTATATAAACACTACAATAATTTTAGGTCAATAAGTTTTGCGTGTGAAGCAAACATGCATAGTACACAGTAATATTGAAGACTGCAAGCTTAAAGCCGCATTAGCATACCTAAAAAATCAAGTTCGATATTAGTTTTGGATGTACGCATCGTATCTATAAAATAATAAGCAAACATGCACACTGTTCAGCCTCAACTTTTCTGTTACATACCACAGGTTATGAAACTGAATATTTTCTTCTTTCCATAAATACTTCATGCACATTATTTTAATAATGAAAAATATAAAAAGAATCTGTGCATTATAGAGGTTGATATTCTAATCTGACGCAGTTCTTAAGCATATTTCCAGCACACTCGTGTTTGTAAGCAATTGCATACACTTTTTGTTGTTCATCAAAAACTTTGTATACAAAAAAATTTCAATCCTTACAAAGATGGTACAACCAGGTTATGAATTTTACAGCATTCGTCAATACTTTTAAAAAACAATTAAATACAAATACTAGTTAATATAGAAATCATAGAGATATAATATATGATAGAAATACGTCCCTCTCTGCAACAACATTTAAGCAAGCGCTGCTTTGGTGTGTATAGTGTATGAACCCAAGTGGAAATTAAAAGTGGGTGAAAACTGGGCCCAAGCTTGGCTGCCACGCCGCCCACCTTGGGCGCAGCTTGACCTGACTTGGCATGACTTTTGCCCAGTAATCAGTAATAGCTCCTTCGGAGCTATTCACATAGAGATTTTTTGCTCATTTCATTGTGAACGTTCATATTGAAAATGGGGTTCCACTGTTCCGCTAAACTCAAATTGAGTGAAGAGACTGAACAGACCCATACTGTGTTCTCTTTCGGTCAACACAGTTGCGACCATAGGCCATAGGCTTTGTTGCCTGATGTAAAAAGAGGTATAGGTCTGCTCAGTCTGTTCACTTACTTTGAGTTTAGCGGAACAGTATAACCCCCTTTTTAATATGAACGTTCACAATTGAGAAACCTGATGATTCGTTGGATATGTAATATTTTAATCACATTTTATTGTGGTAAAGAGTTATGTGGTAATTATACTTGTGCCATATAATCTTTTTTATGATCCAGTCGCAACTTACACCAATGGATAGACAATAAAAAGTTGCCATATATTAACGCCATTTGCGGCAAGATTAAAGTGCATCTTGTACCCGAAAATTGACCTCCAAAAATATAGATTTTTTTTTTTTTTTTTTATATTATAGTGCTCTACGTCCGGCTCCTTTTAAATAAGGGCACTACTATGGGCACTTAGCACTTGGGAAAGGGACAAGGAAAGGGATGGGAAGCCTCCCATTACTGGGAGGGGGGTAGGGGGAAATTAGGCAAATTTTGCTGCGAGAAGGTCGCCTAAACCCTCCTCGAGGAGCATTGCGTGGTGAAAAAGCACATGTGAAAAATCACAGAGGTACTTGCCCGAAAAAGTCGCACTACTGGAATCGAACCACGGTCTCCCGCGTGCCAATCCACGACCTAGCCGACCGAGCCACCGCGCGCTCCAAAAATATAGATATTGTATTCTTATCGATTATGTTTTCTACAGCCTACCTAAAAAAAATGTCGGAATTCTATGTAGAATCCCTATCCAAAATATCAGTGATGAATCAATGCTGAAATCAGTCGTAAATTGCATCGTTGATTCTGCGTTTATTCCATGTTGAATCAATGCTGATTCAGCGTTGAATCAACGTTGACTTATTATCAACTGGGAAACATGTTGTTGTAACAGGTTGTAAGCTTCAAAATAATCTTTTTTAATTGCAAACTGCAATGCTACCATGAAAAATGCACTGTTTCGAAGTTAATTACTACTATTGTTTTCAACAAACGCTGATTCAATGCTGAATCAGCATTGATTCAACATGGAATAAACGCTGAATAAACGATGTAGTTTACGACTGATTTCAGCGCTGATATTTTTTATAGGGATTACTTCTGTAAAACTTTCAGGAAAACCATATGGCGTTACACATGGTTTTACATATGGCATTACATAAAGGGTCTTAGCTTGGTGATGCCATATGTAATTCCATATGGAAAAACACATGGAATTACTAATTGGAAAAAGAAAAAATTTCTATCATCTGGAAATAACTGCAAAATACTATAATAAGTTATTTGCAGCTAGCAATTGGTCTTACCATCGTGATGATAATTCCAAAACAAGGGGGTTCAGCTGATTTTACTTCTATAGAAAAAAAATTTTTTTTTTTTTTATCTTTTTTTTATATTCCTAAAATATAACTTGAATCATCTTGTTTTCGAGTTATCATCCAGATGGTAACACTAATTGTTCACAGTAAATGACGCTATACAGTATTCTGCAGTTATTTCTAGATGACAAAATTTTTTTTCTTTTTCCAATATGTGTTTTTTCAAATGGAATTACATATGGCATTACCAAGCTATAACCCCTTCTGTAATGCCATACGTAATACCATATGTAATGCCACATGGCTTTCCTTAAGGTATTACAGAAGAAATCACACATGGAATTACGTCTCTCTTTTTCAGGTGGGAGTGCACCATCTATTATCTCAGATAAGGGGAATTCTTTCTCAACCGGACAGTAGACACCCCATCCTCTCCAAAATTTATTAGTCTCCAAAATATTGTCCAGCAGTGAAAATGAAAGCTTGGAACCTCTACATTCGAATGCTGTCTGGCCAAAATCGTACAACTCATTTTTAGACACAATATGGCGGCTTTAAATGACAATAAAAACCGAGTTAAATAACGATTTCAAAATAATTTTTGCACCACTGATTATAGTTCAGCCGACATATTGGATTCAATATTTTTTATTATTTATTATTTCATGTACTACTAATACCTAGGCTTATAGAAAGGTGAGTCACTATGGAAAGTTGGTTGAAGAAAAATCTCCAAATAATATTGGCTCTGTGAATAAACTAAAGCCAAATTGCAAAGCCGCCATATTGTGTCTATATTGTATGAATGAGTTGTACAAATTTGGCCAAACGGCATTCGAATGTAGAGGTTTCAAGCTTTCATTTGCACTGCTGGACAATATTTTGGAGACTAACAAATTCTGGAGAGGATGGGGTGTCCGGTTGATAAAGAATGCTCCATAAGTATTGTAGGTCAGATCGGGTAGGGGGTCTACTTTTTTGAAATTCGATTTTCGGGTACAAGATGCATTCATGCCGCAAATAGCACTCTCAGTTGAATTTTTTTTTTAGTTTTTATCCATTGGTGTAAGTTGCGGCTGGTTAATAAAAAATATCATATGTCACAATTATAATCACACAACTCTTTATCACGATAAAATATGACCGAAATATTTCGGATCTCCATAAATCGTAAAGTTCTATTTTAGTGAAAGTGGAGACTGGTTAAAATTCTGATAAAAAAACCCAGATTTATTAAAAGCGAATCAGAGTGAATACAATTGAAGAACAAATTAAACTAATTATACCAATAACAATAGAAACAGTAGTAAACGTGTGTTGTTTGGTACGTGAATGTGTGAGGATGTGCAGAAGGACCTGGTGGTAACGACTCCTGGTGTGTATGAATCCAAGGCGAGTGAGGAAGGAGTGATCTCCTTTGCAAACCGGCGGGCCCTGCACAGTCGCACGAGTCAGCGCAAGGCTGGTGAAAGTGGGCTGACGCACTGAGGACCCTGATTCCGGAACAAGAGATGAAATGGAGCGGGCGAACTGTATTGAAGACGGCGGTATAACGAGATGCACTGAGTAGGTGTAATAGACGTGTTATTTGTATGATATGTGGTGAAGTGATCGAATGCAGATGCATGGAGAGAATTTAACCTAAGATGATGGTGGAAATATGTAGACGGAGATACGGGGTGGATGATGATAAGAGTTTGTGGAATGAGTGACGTACGGATCATAAGCTGTTTGTGGACGTTAGGTAAAAGAATTAGTGAGATGTGTATTGAGCAGGTCGCATATGATGCAGATGTGATAAGCGTAGACGTGCAGAAGGGTGAAAAAGATAAGCCAAGAGGGATTTGAAGGTGATTTCGAGTAGAGGAAGGTTGGGTAGAGAAAGGAAGAGTAGCACGAACGAGAGGTGAAAGGGTTAGGATGACGGTGGAGATGAGCAAGAGATTGCTGGATGGGTGATGAATTAAAGAATGAGAATTAGAGATGCAGAGGTACAACACGAATACGAGATGCGATTAATGAGAAATGTGGGAATGTAAAGAGTAATTAGTGAAATGATTAGATAGAGCTACGGTGATGAAGATCGACGAAATATGAATAAGTATGAAGGTGAGATACAATTAAATATAAAAGACTTAATAGCGTCTCGACGACGATGTCCTGAGTCCTGGGGCTCGAAGACGGCGGCGAAGATTTCCTGCAGATGACACAACCTGTAAGCGGCAAAACTTCAAGCACTACGCGAAAAGTAATTACGATGCTTCCAATTCGGCGTATTAGGCAAGAATGATAATCTTTTCTTTGTTGTTATTAATTTTCTTTATCCAAACTCCGTATGGGCCTTTGTTGTGTTGATCAAATTTGAAGTAGTCGGTTACCGGTGTCTTATTATTGTCGTTTGTAACTTTTAGGTCTGATACGTTAGTTTCAGTACGCTGTTTCTGTTTACCTTCGTCTCTTCATCGATCTCCTGCTCCTCTTCGATTCTCCTCGATTCTCTGAGTCTTTGCCGTTAGCTTAATCTAGAGATTGTTGCAGATGGTTAGCAGCAGTTTTACCCCTTCTTTTTTTTCTTTTTTTTCCTGCTCTTCCTCCTTACGTGTCGTAGGCAGCCTTTGCTTAAATTATTCTCCACTACTTCCATCGCTCCTTCTAGGGGACCATTATCCCAATTATCTATGGTTTCCGTTGTAATTATCAAGCACAGCTACCCGCAAGCGGGAGCGGCTTTTATATTGACTTTTTCACTAGACATAGACACTACGTCTACGATAATCTGTCATTCTCAGAAGCCAGGAAAAAAGTTCTCGGTAATATAATTTTGCAAACGATACCTTTAAGGATGAAGGAAAATTTTCCAGAAATTTTGCAAAAGAAGAAAACAAGGTTGTTTTGAGAAAGCTACAGCCAAGTTACAGCCAAATAAACTCAAAACAATACAACTAGCCCCAAAGGAAATAAGTTCTACCATTAAGGGCATACTTAGCCAGAGGCGAATAGCTGTGGCCAGATGACGAAAGATCGAAATCCTGGGACTCAGAATGGAACGCAACAAAAATACGAAAAGGAGAAAAAATCACTTTAAGAAACAGTAAGTAGGGCTCAGACGACTACACTTACTGGAACTGCAGGACACATTCAGGGAACCCGAGGGGATGATCCTTGGGCGAGAGAAGATGTAAGGCACCTTGAAGAGATAATAGCACGTAAAGAATTTAAGACTTCAAATATAGGCTCGAACGCATGCGAAGCAGGTAGTATAATTAATAAAATTACGACACAACTAGCAATTAGATTAGGCTCCTCATCCGTTGGGGATGAGCTTATTCCAATAAATGGCAACAACGAGCAACA